GTGGATACACTTTTACGCCTGCTATGTTACGACCTGCTACACTACATAGTAATGGCATCTTTTTGTAGGCACTAACTCCGGCATGGTTCCTTGGACAAAGCCTATGAGGAAAATGAATGGCGTTTTTGGATAAACGCCGAAAATAAGATATGTGGTAACACACAGGCTTAGGAGATCTTATACGTTTTGTTCTGTGAGATAATCTTCATCAGCAAATGGTCACTTTGTGAATTTAAGAATTTATGTAATAATAAACACAAATCACAAAGGCTTCATAATTCATAAAAGGTCATGTTAACTGCTATTATCTCATACAACAAAACGTATAAGATCTCCTAAACCTGTGTTAACCTCATACCTTATTTTAGGCATTTATTCCAAAATCCTATTCTTTCCCTATTCCCCATAGGGATGGCTGAACGAACTGGAGATAACTTATTTCCGGGTTTTAGGACTACAAGCTGGAGAGCTCTATTACCATCAGCTGCCCGCGTTGCGTCATTTCCAACTGCAGTGTCCAAGCTCAAGAATCACTGAGGTTCAGTAGAGCCCCTCAGTGGAGGTGTCATAATACCCATAAACCTAGCGGTCAAACAGGGAAATGGTTTGAAATCCCATAGGGGATTTTAGAAACACTTAAAATAAGGGCTGTTTCGTGTAGGCTTACCTTGACATTACGTTTTGGTAACCATGTAAATCTCTTGGACAAGGCGTCGTGTGGGCGAGCGGTTTGCTGATGTCAACATTGTGAATAGTTTCTCATGGCGGCGGTGGGGTTATGGTATGGGCAGGCATAAGCTACAGACAACGAACACAATTGCATTTGATCAATGGCCATTTGAATGCACAAAAATACTGTGGCGAGTTCCTGAGGCCCATTGTGAGGACCATTTTTAAAAAGTATGTGGACACCCCTTCAAATTAGTGGATTCAGCTATTTCAGCCACACCCTATGCTGACAGGTGTATAAAATCGAGCTAACAGCCATGCAATCTCCATAGACAAACATTGACAGTAGAATGGCCTGTACTGGAGAGCTCAGTGACTTTCAACGTGGCACCGTCATAGGATGCCACCTTTCCAACAAGTCAGTTCATCAAATGTATGCCCTGCTAGAGCTGCCTCGGTCAACTGTAAGTGTTGTTATTGTGAAGTGGAAACGTCTAGGAGCAACAACAGCTCAGCCGCGAAGTGGTAGGCCACACAAGCTCACAGAACGGGACCATTGAGTGCTGAAGCGTGTAGCGCGTAAAAATTGTCTGTCCTCAGTTGCAACACTCACCGAGTTCCAAACTGCCTCTGGAAGCAACGTCAGCACAAGAACTGTTCATCGGGAGCTTCATGAAATAGGTTTCCATGGCCGAGCAGCCGCACACAAGCCTAAGATCACCATGTGCAATGCCAAGCGTTGGCTGGAGTGGTGTAAAGCTCGCCGCCATTGCACTCTGGAGTAGTGGAAACGCGTTCTCTGGAGTGATGAATCAAGCTTCACCATCTGGCAGTCTGAAGGACAAAAATGAGTTTGGCGGATGCCAGGAGAACGCTACCTGCCCGAATGTTAGAGCCAACTGTAAAGTTTGGAACGCCGACTGCGAGCCAGGACTAATTGCCCAACATCAGTGCCCGAAGAACCTGCTCAATCTTCTCTGTTGAGGAAGGGGGGCTTTGCCAAATAAGGAGAAAGTGGGAGGGGAAACAATGAGCAAGAACACACCCATCCAAATGTAAACAATGTATAACTAAGTAGCCATGTGCTACATTGTCCTTACACAGTCCTAGGAACTGTTAATTACAAAATAAATGTAGATTAAGCTTGAACCCCGGGCATGGCTGCTTGCAGCTATATTGTTTAAATGGTTTTGCATTATGGTGTCCAACAGGGGATCACTATAAATTAGTGACAGGTGCCTTGTGACCGAAAACTGGACACGAATGTAATTAATTAAAAACCAATTTATTAAAGTCTGCAAGGATAAATACTGCACATTTTCACAGGAGGGGAACATTGAACATCAGCTCACACCAGAAAAAAAATTAAAAATGTATGCACTCACTAAACTGTAAAGTCGCTCTGGATAAGAGTGTCTGCTAAATGACTAAAATGTAAATGTAATGCCACACCAGTACAAAATGTGGAAAACAACAGTGAAAGAAATGACAGGATAATGTGTGCCCCACACCGTCACAGCACAATTGCCACACTGTCTGTATGTCCTATTTATACCTACTGTGCAAGTTAAGGTGATGTAATTTAGTCCATATTCTAAAACATACAAGTTAAGGTGAAACTGTCCCTTTTGTAGTAGACAAAAATAAGAGTCATTTTATTCTACAACACATTACTTTTTTTTTAACAGTTCATATTTCAATTTCATACATTGTCTATTCATTTCCCATCCCCCCTATTGCCCCTGCCCTCACACAAATTATTATATATTTATTTTCATTTAGAGGGGTCTTTTTACATACAGTGCATTCGGAAAGTATTATTCTAAAATTAATTAAATTGTTTTTTACCCCCTCATCAATCTACACACAATACCCCATAATGACAAAGCAAAAACAGGTTTTTAGATTTTTTTGCAAATGTATTAAAAATAACAAACGTAAATATAACATTTACATAAGTATTCAGGCCCTTTACTCAGTACTATGCTGAAGCACCTTTGGCAGCGATTACAGCCTCGAGTCTTCTTGGGTATGAAGCTACAAGCTTGGCACACCTGTATGTAGGGAGTTTCTCCCATTCTTCTCTGCAGATCCTCTCAAGCTCTCTCAGCTACAGTACTAAGCATTCTTAGCACCATGAGAGCAAATCTACAGCCAAGCCGCAGCATGAATGGTGATTGACAGCTATTAGATTTAAAGTTATGTAGTTATAGGACAAAGAATGCATAGGCGTATAAGCACACATTGCATTTATGGAAAACATGCATGTAAAGTTGTGTAGTGTTCAATGCATGTCAGATCTACATGGGCAAATAGTAAGATTAACACAATGCATATCTTCCATTATTGTAAAGTATTCATGCTTGCAGAATGTCAAGGGAATGTAATAGCCTACCTAACATTGCAATACTTTGCATTCCCATATGCATGTGTAGATTGAATTGTAAGGCAAATATCACGATTTTCACACCATTAAACTAGCTAACATAATACATGTATTAGCTAATACATGACTGATACTGCTACATACATGTTGGATAAAACTGTGCCATACACTGGAACCGAAAATAATGCTAACGTTACTGTACTGTAGCCTTCATCACGTACACACGATTTCACAACTTTATTACAACTTCATAGACGTCATATACCATACAACAAAGCACGAATGTAAGCGATAGTATGCATTAAAATAGCTACTATTGAAAATGCAGACAATTGGTGGCTGATTCTACTGGTAGCTACCGCGGCGATGCCGAAATCAATGCTACGTGCATAGGTAGATGTAACCAGAGATTGCACTGTATAATGTTTACAATTCGCTTGTACATTCTTACAACTTCACAGTTGTAGCAATAACATTACAGTAGATTTTATGCAAGCTTATAAAAGATACTTACTCCATAACTCTCTCTCCGTGTGATATAAACAATGATCCGTATGTTTTAAAAAATTCGAGTTGGGGCCGGGGCTAAAATCAAAGGGCGAATATGATTGGACCACTCGTTAAACGGGCGATGGTGGTTGGGTACAGTTAGTTAAGACTGTCTCGCATTCCCATTGGTGGCTTTTAGTGGCTTCCGCTAGTTGAGATTGGCTAGACATCGGATTGGCTGACAGTGTTGTCAGCCATTTCACTTAGGCGAGACAGTTGAACCAGAATAATGCGCTCTGCTACTGCCTGAGCAAAAATGAGATGATGACTTTAAGGAACAAACAATTATAAATTCGCGCTGGCTGTCTACTCCGATTCCAGAGCGCTCGTCTGAGTGTGCCAGAGCGCAGAATAACTGATGAATTTACGAACGCTCAACATCCGTTGAATATGGCCTGTGTCCGTAAACATCGGCAAAAAAGTTTAATTAAATTGTTGCCAACAGCAGTTACCAACGCTCTAGATAACATAAAAACATCATAACCAGCTCTGCTAGGGCGAGTAAAATGGTCAGTGAGGTGTTCTCGCATGTGCTACTCCTGAGTGGCGCAGTGGTCTAAGGCACTGCATCGCAGTGGTAACTGTGCCACTAGAGATCCTGGTTCGTATCCACGACCGGGAGACTCATGGGGCGGCGCACAATTGGCCCAGCGTCGTCCAGGGTAGGGGAGGGAATGGCCGGCAGGGATGTAGCTCAGTTGATAGAGCATGGCGTTTGCAACGCCAGGGTTGTGGGTTCGATTCCCACGGGGGGCCAGTATAAAAAAATATATACAAATATGTATTCACTAACTGTAAGTCGCTCTGGATAAGAGCGTCTGCTAAATGACTAAAATGTAAATGTAATGTGTCTGGAAGTAGCTAGCAAGCTAGCCAACGTTAGCTTGGGTGCCGTCGTGAGGTCAGAACGCTCAGATCAACCCTACTCCTCCGCCAGAGCGTCAGTGTGCGCGCTGAATACTCAGAGCGAAACGCTCTTAATTTACGAACACCCAGAGCGCACTCCACATTGGATTTACAAACACAACCAATGTCATTAAATAAAACACAGAACTTAAATATTTAATTTCATAGTAATTTCCTATTTTTCTATGTGGACCTGTCCGAGTCAATGGACTATTTTCAGTGTTTTGGCAATTGAATGAATGTTCACTCTTTTGGGATTTCCATTAAAAAGCTAATAATTTTAGTGCAATTTCATAATGCATTTAATGTGTTAAAAAAATGATAGAAACCAAAAACCGTGATTTTTAAAAATAATCTAACCGAATCCAAACTCAAAAAGCACTAATAGTCAGGTATGTACCTTGACATTTTAACAGTTTAACTTGCCATCAGCTGCAAGCATTCACATGATGCAAACAAATGGTGGAAATAAAAAAGGAACCAGACAAAGTCATGTCAAATCTTTAATGTATGTAAATGATAATCATTGTAGACATAAATCCAGGGTCAAAAGCAACAACTACTTTCTTTACACACACACAACAGTAATAGGTAGCTACTTGATTTTATTCAATAAGGAAAATAAACTTAAAACATCAGTTTGTGTCTGTGTTTGTATGAGTGTCTGTGTAATGGTGCACGGCACTGGTTAGATCCCTCTTCTCAACCACATCTATTTGGTGATGTTGTTTCTGGGGAAAGAGGAGGATTACAGACAAAACATTAAGAGGGAAACAGACAGTAGTGTGAAGAATAACTAGGTACATACTCTATGCAGTTCACATTCTCCTTAAAATTAAACATTGAAATGAAATATTCTGAGCTGTTACTTGCAACCTTGCTCTGTGTAATCCACAGATTGGAAACTGATGGGGTGGGGCCACACAAAAAAAAAGAAAAGGGGGATACATTTAACCCAATCAGAACTCATGAGCGGCGCACAAGTCGTCCAAGGTAGGGGAGGGTTTGGCCAGCAGGGATGTGGGTTTGTTTCCCACGGGGGGGCAGTTTGAAAAACAAAAACATGTATGCATTCACTAACTGTAAATCGCTCTGGATAAGAGCATCTGCTAAATGACTAAAATGTAAAATGCAAATGAGGGGCCGCAGTGGCTCGCGGGTCTGCATATCCACATCCACACCCACACATGCAGTCAGCCAGCCTTTTGGGGGCCCCAAGTGACATTTTGTTGTAAGAATTGGCATTTTAGAGTTAATTTCCTGCAATTTCACACATTTTGCCATGGGCGGGGAGAGAAAGGTTTGCAGTTTTTAATATCATATCTGAGTGGGGTGAGACTAACAGAATCAATGGGGGCCCCCCGGTCGGTAATTCAACCATGAGTCCTACAAGTTTAGATAACTGGCCGCTAGACTAATTTACCAATTTAAATTTTTTTTTGCAGACACGGGCAAATTGAGTATGTCAGTGACCGACATAAGAGGAAAAACTGCTGATGCACAAATAATCTCGAAATTTCACCTTGTGTATTCTACTATTCTTATTCTCAACAGTAAGTTGAGACCCCGACTGAGTAACTACAAAAAGGGGGGCTACAAAAAGAGGTCCGCCAGTTGCCCATCCCGGGTCTAATCAATCAAAAAAAGTGTCACTGTAATTAGACTAGAAATACATACAAGACAGGGTGAAAGAAAGGAAAAATAAGAGGTTTGTAAAATACTCACGCATTCATGCTCTTCCCACTCCCACTCAGAACGATGTAGGGGGTTTTCTGTGACTTCTGTTTCTCCTGAAGCAAAGCAACCGTTCCTAGAGGGGTATCACTACTGCTCATCTTCTTTAACAGCTGATAAAGAGACACAGGTGGGGGGGGGAGAGGTATTTAAATACACACTCGGTGAAACCACTGACTAGACTAGAGGCTTGCTAGGTCATATCCTCAAGAACTCAAATTGGGCAAGCCCTGCAACATGAATTTTCTAGTAAGGCCTGAAAATAAATGTTATTCAATTGAAAGCCATATGTGATGGAAAGTATCAGATAATCCAAGATTTGAATAAAAAAAAAAAAAAAAAGTTATTTAGATTTGAGTACAAAACAAACAACGTAAAATAATATTTGAGTGAGCGAAGTTAGACATACCGCTTCCTCTTCCAGCTTTTTCATCCTCCTCTCAGTCTTCATCTTGCCAGACCCCTTCCCATGGAACCGATGTGAGAGCTGCCGGAAAGCCTAGAGAAAGAATAGGATTAGTGTCAATATTCTCAATGAGCACCATTTACCTACACTAAAAACAGCAGTTGACACATTCACAATCATCATTCTGCATGTCAATGATTTTAAGGGAAGATTAAATAACAATGTACCTCTTTAGGAGTGAGCTTCCGTCCAGATTCATCCACATACTCAATCTTGACATCTGGCTTGTAGGCGTCCTTCTCCTTGAAGTCCTGGGTGAAGCCTCTATATTCCTCCCTCCGACTGTACTTGTCATCTATAGTCCTAGAGTTGGAGAAACAAGGATAGACGGTTAACGATGGAGAGGCTAACAGGTTTTCATACATTACACTTAGGATTACATGTTACATACACAACCCTGGCATTGAGCTAAAAAAAACAGTAAATTACTAAATACATGCCATTTTATTTATGTTGTAACTTCTGCAATGTCTGTGAGAAAGTGGTGATTATTTAACCAGCATATAAGCACACAAAGTACAGGTAGCTCACATCTTGTCCTCAATGCTGTAGTTATCATTGGGCAGGGCACCGGTAGGAGCACGGACACGGGATATCTTCTGCATTTGAGTGTCCAAGAGACCTAAGGGAGACAAGGAGAGTATGAGAGCATGAAAGAAACTATGGAAACGAGGGAGACAAGAAGAATATATCAAAAACATGACAGTCCTTTTCTAAACAAATACTGTCAAAGTGGGGCTGTCCACCCCCAATCTCTTACCCTTATTCTTGCAGAGTGCCAAGGCAGCAGCCAGCCCAGAGTTGACAATGGGTTCTTCATCCAGGATGGTGGTCGAGGCTGTGGCGAACTAGGAGATAGAAGCAAGAGGCAAGTCAAGCACATCCAGCGGACACATTTTCACTTCAGTAGTTCAGGGGGGAAAAAGCCTTGCGTATTCTTATGGGTCATGGTATGTTATTCTCTATATTACCCACTAGGGGACTCCAAAATCAGCACTACTGCTAAATGCATGGGAATATGGATGAGACTACAAGGCAGGAGGATGACTCACATCAGGCTGCTTCTGTTCCTCATCCACGTTGACGATGCTCCAGCCAACATTCTCATCCCCGTCAGAGTCTGAACCTCCAGCGCCATCTCTCTCCGCCTCCTGCTCGAAATCCTAGAACAGTAGAATACAGTTGATACAAGAGACTCAAACCAAGTGTTCAAGTGCAAACACACAGAGCTCATGGATATTTCAATTCTCTCTACTGAGCACACTAGAATACAATTGGAATCGCTTCCTTGTTTATGAGGTGGTCATGTGCCAATTCTAATGATGTATATATATTTTTTAAATAAACAGTTAGCGATAGCCTGTCTCTTGCACTGTACCCACCATGATGTCCTCCTGGTCCTCTCTGTTTCCTGACAGGCCGTAGGTGGGGATGTCACCCAGAGTTCTGCAGAACTCAGAGGTGGCGTTGAACACAATGTTCAGCTTGTTGTTGTCGTCTTCATCGTCACTGTCGTCCCCTCTTGCAAGCCCTCGGACCTGCTCTGCCACCTGAGGGGCAGGACAATGAGAACAATGTTTAAACATTTATTGGTGATTAAATATCACAACAGATTCTATAGTAATCCACTCAATCTTGCTGTTTTCCGTTGTCAAAGGAGAGATCAATGCACTGGATAGGATCTTTGGCCACAGTGATATTCTAGCATCGTAGAGCCCACACCTTTTCCTCAGAGTTTTTGAGCAGCTGTTTCTGTTTGAGCTTTCGCTGTTTCTCCAGCTGCTTCTGCAGCTCCTGCTCTGCCTCGTCCTCCTCCAGCACAGCCGGCTCAGGGGGGGTGAAGTCCTCTGAAGGAAGAATAAAGTGTAAGTGTTGTCATAATATTGAAGAAAAACAGGCATGAGTGAACCATTCATTTATTTAGCTCATCACTAAACCACTAACAGATGTCTCCCTCACCATCATCACTGATGTCCATGTCCGCCATCCTGATGTCATCTGACTGTTGGGGTACATCTAGTCCCGGTATGATGACACGCTCCTTCACCTCTTCCTGGCCCTCCTCAGCCAACTGCTTGCGACCCCGACCCCGAGCCCTGATGGAGAGAGACAAAGAAAGTCTCAGACTAAAGCTAAAAAAAAAAGGCTAATCATTCAGATTGAAGCGAAGCTGAGGCGAGCAGAACCTGGAGCCAAAGTCGGTGTTGCGTGTGTCATCTAATTGGAGATCATCAGGCAATGCCTTCTCCTTCTTCCTGATCTTCCTGATGCGCTGCTTGGTCTTCTTAAAGCCCACCTGTAATAACAACAAAAAGTAAGAACCTGTCTGTGAATAATGACAACAATTAATGATAACTCCTAGTGTGTTAACAATTCTCCAAAACACACACACACACACACACACACATACACACACACAGACTTAACATTCAAAAGAAAACCCATTCACACATTAAATCTGAGACAAGAGCAAACATATCCAAAAGACAGCCTCCAATGCCCTCTTCAGAGCACCTCCTCAGTCCTCACCATCTCCTGGGGTGTGTAGTACTCTGAGGCAATAGCGAGAGCAGGCATCTCCAGGGACTGGGCCTGGTTCCTCAGGGTCTCCCTGATGGCCTGGAGCTCCCGTTCCCGTTCCCCCTCGGCACAGCCCCCTTTGCTCAGCTGGAAACTCTTCTTCTTCTCTCCATCAATCTCCTCATCATACTTGCCCAGCACAGTGCGCGGCTTGAACTGCAGAGGTGGACAATGGACAGTGAGATTGAATTAAGCAGTGAGAAAGACATGACAGTATTTCAGAAATGACGACAAACTAAGTTTGGACACTTTTCCTTTCTTACCGTAACCATTTAATCCACACTCTCGTCCATACCGTTACCATGTCATCCACACTCTCGCCCTTACCGTAACCATGTCATCCACACTCTCATCCTCTTCGTAGGCTTTGTAATCAGGCTTTTTCTTCTTCAACTCCACATTTTTCTCAGCCTTTTCTTTGTCCACTAGACCCACATTTACAAGAACATCGCTCCCCTCTTCATCAAGCACACCTGAAAGAGACACAAAAGGGCAATGTGTGGGTGGGCATGTACCACTGTTTATGATGTGGGTCTGTTTTAAGAATGGTCTTCATTAATATATTTCTCTGTTATTGGTAACATTTCAACCTGCTATCACCTTTGTCTTCCAGTGTGAGAATGACAGTCTCCCCTTCATTAAATGACTCCATCTTGTGCTGCACAGTGAGACCCTTTAGGTCCCGAGAACTGTACGCGGCCTATAACAAAGACAAGCAGAAGAACATAAGACCTAGAGGCATTCTCTCACGTCAGATCGCTTGACGACTCAGTCTGCACAGAATCAAGACATAAAGTGCCTCCCTTAGGGGCAGTGGTGTCACAGGTCTCAAACTCCATGGAGGGGAGGGGGGGATTGGGGGGCGTACTGGCAGATTGCCTGAATGCGGTTTATATCTAGCCTGCAATCACACACAAACCAGAAGACAATCCTAAATTGAGCAGTTGAGATATTCAACACACGAGAGAAGATTTTACCTTCTTGGCCTGTCCAAACTCCTCCTCCACCAGATTGCTCACACCAAACTCCTCATCCATCTCCTGCAGAAGTTTGGCCTATAGGGAAAGAAAGGAAATAAAGGAACCAATCAAAAACTGAGTACAAAATAACAACATAACTTATACACACAAACACCTCCCTTCCTCTCACAGCCCTCCTCCTTCCCCCATGGTTCCCTCCCTACTCACTCTCTTCTCTGCCAGTTCTTTCTCTTTGGCCATCTTCCGGCTCCTCTCAACCCAGGCAACAGTGTCGTCCAGCCAGTCTTCTTCTGCTAAGGTCTTCACTTTCCTGAAAACCACAGCAGGAGAGGAAGAGAAAAATAAAATGAATTGGATCACTAACCACAATAGTCCAAGATGTAGTACGTACAGCCTTCCTGTCGTTAGACCTTACCCCAGTTTCTTATTGAGGAGCCTCTTTTCCTTCAGAGCTGCCAGTTTCTCCCTCATCTCTTTCTGCTGTTTAATGTACACTGGGTTGATAGTCTCTGCAACCATTGGCTGCTCCTTCGTGCCGAGCTCTGGGGCAACAGACAGGGAGGGGTGAGTCAGTAAAATTACAATCAGCAAGTCTCACATGACCTCACTACTATAGACATGGTCATCTAGTTCTAGTCAGAGACTTGACATGGCTCAAGTTTACCTCACCTTTAGTGGTATCAGTCATTTCCAGAGGCTTCAGACCAAGCTTGGCCCTCAGCTTGCTGTTAGAAAGAAAGAAAACCAGGGAAGAGAGTTATTCAGAATTGACCATCATCAGTGCTCCATCATTCAATGTCTGTGTCTGTCACTTACTTTGTTTCTTCAATGGTAAGCGAGGCATCTCCACTTGCAGACTGTGGTGCAATTTCTAGAGGAAAATAACAATTGAAGTGAAAAACACAGGAGAAAACCTTGCATCTTCGATGTCATATATGCAATAGGTCAGACTATATTTGAGTGTATTGCGCACTGATTGGATGTACCTATGAATGTTTGTGTATGTGGATATGTGGCTGACTGATGTATTTACCTGTGTTCTCCTCATATCCAGACTCCACTTTTTCTTTCTTTACGCGAGGCTCCCCAGTACTCCTCTCCCCTTTACTGCGACCTTCTCTCTCGGAACCCCGTCCACTCCTTTCCTTCGATCTGGACCGTTTCCTTTTCTCCCGCTCTCGGTTGCCATCTCGTTCCTTGTCCCTCTCCCGGTCCTTGTGACGGTGTTTTTTGTGTTCGCGGTGACCACGCTCTTCGGCATCCTTCTCCTTATCACGGCCCTTTTCCTTGTGTTTCTTCGACGAACCCATCTTCCTTGTTATGTACTGTAAAAGTGCTTGCTAGCTAGTAAAACAAATATACCTCTAACTTTACCTGTCCGTGTGCAACAGCTAATATTCGCTAGCCAAGCTAACGTGCCAGCGATTGTTGACAGTCAGTAGACGATTAAGATTTAAAAACGTTTGCTGGCTAGAGGGAAAAACGTTAAACTACAGTCAAAAGCATTGCTCGTAAAACCCCATCTTGGGGCAAGCTGCAACAAATGTTTTAAGCAAGTCTTTACTTACGTGTGAACAAATCACCAATCGCACTCGAAACGAATGGACGACTGTTTTTCAGAATGACCTTTTAGATTTATTTCCGGGGTCAAATGAAACGTCACATCACAACAAAGATTTTTTGTTGTTGCAAGAACTGTGTGAGAAAACCGACCCTTGCTACTTCCATCTGAAGTACATGAAGTGAATACTTTTTCACTGGATTGTGTTGAATTAGTCTATCTGCAGGTTATATTTTTGAGTTATATTTATTATGTGGTTTTTTGAAGATAGCCTACAGTTGTGAAAATACCAACTTCACACTGTGACATTTTTTTGGACACAGTTAAGTAGAGTGAACTAGGCCAATGTTTTGTTGAAAATAAAAAGTCAATGTGATCTAAAAGAATGGCATAGTCTAATAGAAGAGATGGTAAATGAGGCAAAACAATAAATTGTTTTAATGATCATTTTTTCCCAGATTCATTCATTTGCAAGTCTCATGATTGATGATACAGTGTGTCATACAAAATCTGATTCTGTTATTACAAGGTTGTTTTTTCATATACATAACAAACATGCCACTTGAGAATAGCCAGCACAAATACCGTATGGTTTAAACTGTAAATAGCCTATAATAACTCTTCACAACATCTACCTCTCAATTTCACATAAATGTGTTTCTATCTACATGTAAAATACAATTATTTATTTGAACATTAAGCTAAAATTCAACTGACAGTTGAATTGATTTTATTGGAATTGGAATGTAACAGACTTAAATGGCTTGATGACAAGTAAATTAACTAACTTAAATACAGAGGATTGAAGCTACGCCCTAATGGCAGTGGTGGAAAAAGTACCCAATTGTCATTCTTGAGTAAAAGTAAAGATACCTTAATAGACAATGACCCAGTCATTTAGAAAAGTCACCCAGTAAAATACTACTTGAATAAAAGTCTAAAAGTATTTGGTTTTAAATATACTTAAGTATCAAAAGTAAATGCTCAAATATACTTATTATGAAAAGTAAAACAATAAATATTTTCAAATTCCTTATATTAGGCAAAACGATTTTCTGTTTTTTTTATTGATGGATAGCCAGGGGCATACTCCAACACTCAGACATAATTTACAAACAAAGCATGTGTGTTTAGTGAGTCCACCAGATCAGAGGCAGTAGGATGACCAAGGATGTTCACTTGATAAGTGTGTGAATTGGACCATTTTCCTGTCCTGCTAAACATTCAAAATGTAACAAGTACTTTTGGGTGTCAGGGAAAATGTATGGAGTAAAAAGTACATTATTTTCTTTAGGAATGTAGTGGAGTAAAAGTATAAGTTGTCAAAAGTATAAATAGTAAAGTAAAGTACAGATTCTCCAAAAAAACAACTTAAGTAGTACTTTAAAGTATTTTTACTTGAGTACTTTACATTACCGCCTAATGGCCGTGGTCTGGTGCCTCACCCTTTGATGGTTTCTTCAGCATGGTGAGGGTGGAGTCTGCAGCCACCTCCATAGCGTGAGCATCTCTTTAGGGTTTCGCTTATGAACCAGCAGCACAGAGCTGTAAGCACAAGGCTTCTCCCTCTCTGTTTCTGGGAGATCAAAGGTATAAAATCCAGGGTGATGGATGGGGGCCACCCCAAGTCTATGGAGGCACATGCCCAGATATACATCATCGATGGGGAAAAGACGCACCCTCTCTGACACTTGTCTGAGACGCATGGCAAGTGCACCAGAGTACACCACCCCTCCTCCACCAGCATATGGTGGGTACGCACCTTTGTAAAAACTCTCTGAGATATAGTATTTGGTGGTTGGCTGTCGGTTTGGCATTGCATTCTGAATTACATCCCCCACAAATAAATCCTTTATCTTCTCAGTTTTGTTCCTATCTGCTCTCCACATGCCGTCCTCCTCCCTCTGTTTATGCAGGTAGTCCAGGAGGGCACTTGTCCTAACAAAAACATCATCATCACCCTTGAAGACAAACTCTGCCCCTGGACAGTGGTTCTGAAGCCAATGCCAGAAGAGCAGATCTTTCAGGGTCAGGTTAAAGAAAGTGTCCCTGAAGTCCCACTGCAGGATGTCCCCATACTGCTGGCTCTCCAGCATCAGGAGGCCACCAAGGTCTGGGTGAGGGCCCGTTGTCGAGTCCTGTCTACCCAGCAGAAAGACTGTGCGCACCAGCCCACCCCTCCCCCCCAGCTCCCCCTTCACCCAGCCACTTCTCCCCCATGTTTCACGGATGGCCTGCCTGTTCTCAAAGTTACCCACCTGGGATTTGATGGCCATTAGGAGCATAGGGGTCTCTGGCCCAGTGCTCTCATTGCCAGCACACACTCTGGGCTGATCCATGAGGAAGGGGTACACCCTGCAATGCATGGACTGGACAAAAGCCCTCATCTGCTCTGGCAGGGTGTTGAAGTCAGGTAGGTGAGGAAGCCAGCACTTGTCTGGGCCACAGTCTGAGGAGACCGCCATCTCTGGTGGCTCAGTGAGCTCAGTGATAAGCCTTGTGATCATACCTGCAGTTGAGTTGCCCCTCAAAATGGGGTTATGGTGCCGGTCCCAGAGATGCTGAAGCTGGTTCCACAAAGCACTGTCCTCCAGGCGAACGTTCCAGAAGGGGCCCAGGGGATGGGAGGCCAGTGCCCCAGAGTTGGCAGAGGCCCCTGGGGCAACAAAGTGGACAGGTAGGTGGGGAGGGGAATAGGATATGGAGACAAATATGGACACCATGATATAAACCAGGAGATGTCCCATCATCACACAGGGCATGAGGCAGAGGCACAAGATCGTTCCATTGCATCGGGCCATTGGGTGCTGTATGCAGTAGGACATGAATAGAAAGAATGAAGAGAAAAAGAGAGAGAGAAATATAGAGGAGAGAGAGGGGGGAAGGTTAGCAACTCACTGGTAAAGAAATATGAGCATATAAACTGGCTAAATGAAGAGCATAAATATTTATAAAAATTAGGTACTTTGTTTAATTAATGTGAGACCAATAGGGGGATACAGCCAGTCAGAACTAGAAGCAACTGCAGGTCTCTGAGGGTCGGTCTCCTAGGTGATGCTCCAGAGAGGCTTGTTATCTGTGCTTGGCCAAAGACTCAGAGCATCACACAGCCCAAGATATTTACATCATGTACCTTTCAACACAACATTGATATGGAAAGCTGAAGGTATACCATGTTTCCTATTCCTCTCAAAGTTGGTGAAAATATACTAACAAACATCCAGCTCTAGAGACATAACACTTTCCATGTAATACTCATTTCAAGGATATTAACCCACATAGTTTTGTCTACATTTTGCTATTGTGAATTTATGTGTGCTATCATGAACCCCCCAAAAGATCAACAATCACACAAAAATGAGAGGTTATAATGAATACATTTGGAATAATATCCTAAAGACAATAAAATTTAGACCTACATTATTTGCTAAAATAAGCTTTCCATTACAACCAAACATTAGCATACTGTTGTTCATTTTATAACAAGACTAAGGTCAGAAGTAACTTACAAAAGTACTGTAGGCTCAGGCAGAGAAGACGTGAGTATGAGTAACGTTAGAGAAAAAAACGGTATTGAAGATCCATCATCGCTTTTCTGCTCCTTTAGTGATGGCTGTGGACTAGGCCTACAGTAGGCGTCTTCTAAGAAGTCGAATACATAATAAACTAATATTAAACATTTAATTTGAAAATGAACACCAGCAAAGTACAATAATCGAGCAAGCCGCACGGGTGTTCATAGGCTAGTCAACCTCCAAAGATTCAAGAAAAGAATGGCGCCTCATTTATCCTTTGGTAGGAAAAGGAAAAACAAAATTGCCCATATTCTTTCCTACCGTTCCCATTGCGTTCAATCAAAATAATTATATGAATTCTTAGCTTTGGTCGGCATTGTGTTCAATAAATAGAGGTATAATTCATTGAGCTTGAAGAAAACCGATTTGCATGCAGGAGAGGCTCCGCAGGTGAGTTCTCCACAGGTCTGCATTTGCATGCAAGTTATGGATCTATGCCAACAACGTAGAAGGTAAACCACACCCATAGGCCTAAGACATCTGTCACGAGGGTTTGAAATATGGGGCCACAAACAGTCAAATTCTCAAAGCAGTTGGCTTATTGTAAAAATATTTCATGGTATTTACAAATGACAGACAACCTAATTTCGTTTAGCTTAGTTGTATAACATTTACATTCACATTTACATTGTTCTGATTGCAGAATTGTATTTGACTATATGGTTCGATGGATGGATATAGACATAATAAGGGCAGCTTCATAATAATATATCGTACTTTTTTAGAGGAAATTAGCTATAACACATCAGTATAGCAACAGCCTATAGAGGAAAACATATCTGCATCTATAAGGTCATAGGCTAAGTTCAGTTTGAATGTCAAAGATTACTGCAAAATTGACTCCTCTTTTCTCATGATATGGATTGTGAACATATAGCCTACTGCCTCAAGCTTCACCACTCTTGCTCTTTCGTTTTAACACACACATTGTACACACCTGAATAAAACTCCCTCCCTCTAAGGCCATTTTAGTTTTAACACTTTCATGTTAACTGCATTGAGGTACACCTGTATCAGTATAATTTCTCTACCCCTTGATTCCTTGCTGGTCTATGGCCCTCCCTCCCCTCGCCCTGTTCTTTTTGCTCACTGAAACCTGCCACAGCCCCCTCCCTCTCTTCCCTGACATCATCAGTTTGTATGCAACCAAAGTTTCACCAAGGACAGAGGTCCTTGGCAAGGCAACATCAAGTGTTTCCCAGTTTCACTATGCCTGTACCTGTCTAGTATTGTTGGCTGGAGAGGCTGTTGTCACACAGACGACATGCAGTGGATGTGAGTCGCAGAGTGGGGCTGCTGATTGATCTGCCCCCAGGGTGCCTAATCACACCACCCTGCCTCCCAACCAACACTTATGTAATGGTGAACAGGGTGTATCCGGGTTCAGTGAAAATCTGAATCATCAATGGCAATTTGACAGTCCCACTGACTGTATAATGTAACTGTTCAATCATTTCCAAACTGGCATTCATGGCTTGAATGTCCAACA